AAACCGCTCGGAAACCGGGTCCAACACCATGGTGACCATGGTGATAACCGGTAAAATTAATGAATCTCTACAAAAGTATAACATTGTCTGCTTTCCCGGGTACCCGGCTTTGTGTGTTCACGGGTACCTGGGCAGGAATTTTTTCTTCAAAATTTTGACAGCCTTACTAAGGTACAAACTGGCTTAGGAAGGGTGGCGAAGGAATCGGTCTCGCCAAGGTGGCACTTTTTTTTTTTCTCTGTAGATGGTGGCGGCTTTTCGGCCAACGGCAAAAGTTTGTATCGTGTGGCGGGGCGAAACTGTTTGGACCCCTCAAATATCCGTGCCACCACCCCTTCCCACCCCCACCCCCCACCCCGAAGCCACACTGATTGCAGGTCCCTGGTGACGACTCCGATTCTAGAATCAAGTTATGACGTTGGTTGTTGTAATCAGCGAAGACAGCGGCGAACAGTGCCGCTACAACTTTGCGATATTATTTAATATAAATACATACAACAAAATTTCAAACATTACATACGTGGTCTTGAAAGACGTGACAGCCGGCTCAACAGCTAGGTATTTTTCCGCTTGATCTAACCAGAAGCTTGATCTGAATGTTGGGTAACCACAACACGACATTGACTTACTGTGCGAAATAACGTCAGCGATAATGGGGAATCCCATTCTCAGTCTGTTTCTTCATTTGGCATGTATTGATATTTCTTGTTTTAAGAACGACGTTTGGGGTTCCGTAAAAAGGGACTTCTAGAGACCGGCCGAATTTCGGTTTCAGATTCGGCGCCGAGACTTGCCATTTGCTTGCTTTCGGCATAGCTTCTGTTTCGGCCGAAACAGAAAAGTTAACTTTCATTTTATTTTTGGTTTCGGTAGTCTACCAGAAGTCAGAATACCACTCTGTCTCTTTGCCGGAATTCCGATATTCATTATTGAACATTTCTATCTATCTATCTATCTATCTATCTATCTATCTATCTATCTATCTATCTATCTATCTATCTATCTATCTATCTATCTATCTATCTATCTATCTATCTATCTATCTATCTATCTATCTATCTATCT